TCCAAATACGCAGATAAAGCTTGATCTACCGCAGAATGTGGCAAATCGATTTCTGACTCGAACTGACTCACTCTTTTATTGGAGTGCTCCGAGCTGATAAAGTAACCATCTAGATAGAAAAGGATCGGCACAACATCTTCGGGATCACGAAAATCCTCAGCACAATTAGTTATCAGAAATACATTAAACAAAGTCGGTACAAGGATTCCCGCTCCAATTAACGGCTCAGTAGCGTTGCTTCAAATTTAATAACTAATCATCCATCATGCAGGAGTGAAGAGATTTCATAATTTTATCAACCTGCTTCTTGTCCGTCGAGCATTTTGAGGCGATCCACAATGCTTCCCTTTTCACAGGGCCTACACCTAACGTGAAGACAACGAGGATACTTCCTGCTGCAGCTTAGCGGCTGAAGTCGAAGCACACCAATGACAGCCTGAGACGCGTTGGGCCCCATACAGAATCCATATCGCAGTCGGAATCACTTCCTCTGACAAGCCCAAACGTGAGACGACTAAGGAGGACTTGTATCAGGATTTCGCCCGCAGTTTAGGAACTGTTCGGTTTTCAGCGATCTCCCTTCGCATTGAACAATGGTGGGATTTACTCCCGAAATTTCGAGGAAGCTTTCGAGTCCTCTAGGTGGTACATAAGAAGAGAGAAACTTCGCCTTCTAATAGTGGTCCACCTAATTCGAATAGTTTCGCAGAAAATCCACCTTTCTCGGTATCCTTCTTTCGTCAACTTCCAGTCATCGCCCTCTGAAGTATAATCTTTGTGGATGGGCTGGAAAACGCAGTCACCTGAGGAGTTGTAATATAACTGTACAGGGTATTCAAGATTGATGTTGCATAGCTTGATATGTTGAGGAATATGCCTTCCATACTAAATTACTGAGCGCTCAACCAGGCTGGGTATCTCGGATTTTTTATCGAGTGTCAGATTTTGAATGCATAATTTGCTTTTCGTACCCAGAAGATTTCTCGTAACCCTATTAATCCCTATAAACTGGGGTAATTTTAGAATTGTGATCCATCTTTCATTCTTCCGTCCACATGGGTGGTTTCAGCGTTTAGTGCCCGTTTTTTGAAGCTCATCTAGAGTCGGTCAGTCTGATAGGTCTCTGAGCTTCATGATAAAAACGTCAAGGGAACAGGCAAAACCTCAAAGGTTATTGTTTATCAAAACAAATAAGAATGCGTTTCATCTTTGAATCTAGTGATTTTAAACATGGTCACACCACCGTGGTTCTTCATTGTAACCCACGTCTTGAAATCGCGTATTGGTACGGAAATAAGTACACACGTTTTTTCCATGTTCCATGAATCTCTAGCCCTTCGCTCAGCTTACGTAAGTTCAGTTTGATTAGTTTAGCTTAGTTTGATTAGTAAAGTGTACCACCAACAATTTTGCTGTCACCACCATCACCGTCATCGTGCCATGTGTACGACCTTGACCCACATCAGGTCAAGCTGCCTTGTGCAACTGTCAAGGGGGAATATCTGTTTGTGATTTCCCGCAGTGCTTTTGCATTGTGTACAAGATATCCATCTGGAGCTAGGTGTGACTGACCCACGCTCTCGTACACGCAGGACTCAACAGGTCTGTGGACAATCGAGGGACCTCACTGGGCCAGCACACGTTAAGCACATACTTCACCTGTGCACACCACATTTCCCCAAGCTTAGTTCTGTACGCAATACACTGATGTGTTTAGCAGTCATTGTCTACTCTGTGCATCATCACATGCTTCACCCTGCTTCTTGTCTGGCTGGTATTCGTTTGCTTTTCTTGCATTCCCGTACGGCACCAAGCTCTAAGCACCACTATATGGTGACTGCTTTTGGTCAGAAGTCTATAAAGTGGCGCCAGTACTATAGTGTAGTACTATGTTCCTCGACATTTGACCTTTGACACTTTTCTGTGCATGGTTCGGAATTCGGCAGATGCCAGAGGCCATGAACTTAATCTCGTGTATATTAACGTGATGAAGCTTGCCAGGTGACAAAGGAATCAAATTATCAATTAGACATGGTGACTCATCATCCTTCTTCGTCGAAGCAGATCACGGTATCTTGAAAACAACAGCATTTGTGTTAAACAGGTTACACCGAATAACTGAATCATTCAGAAACAGAGTAACATTTCTCCCCACAAGCTCAAAAATTTTTCAGATGTATTCGATACTTGGACAGATATGGTCTGGCAAGTTGACGACTCAGTGTGGGATACAAGCCGACATTCTGAGGATTCCGACGTTCAGAGGGAAAGATGCCATCATGGTAGTATGAACTTCAAAAAGACACCAATGAGAGCAACATAAATGCAAATGTATCTCGGACAAAGTTTGGTGAGTTGGGGGGGGGGTTGAATAAAAGTAGTATTCTATTATTTGTCGTAGCTCTCCGCAGTAAGCCCATTTCTTCGCACTCTTCCAGATGAGTGAAATTTAACATCAATAAGTGCCCCTGCTCCTCCTGAGTTGACCCATCCTTTACGGCCTGCCACAATGGGACTTTTTTTCTCGATAATCCTGAACGCATTTCCAACCTGTGTGCAGTAGCTCAGCAGATTTCTGCTGAATGAAGTGGCCAGTGGAGTTTGTTATTCCTCCAACTATTAGCGGTTGTTACTTGCTTTTGGTGACCAAGAAATTGATTTCAAAATCTTCACTCTTTTAGCTTGACCGATCCGCAGGTAGCTTTAGATTAATAAGCAAATGTGCCATTCAAATGGGCACGCGGTGATCGACTGCGCAAGTCAGTCGAAATCACTTAGATTGTTTCTACCTCGAATTCCCCTTCACGTGTCGAATCAGAACCACAAGCTTGTAAGCGTCCAACACTACCGCGCTTGTAATAGCTTCCCTCCAAAGTATGAAGAGATTTCATTTATTCATACCTTTGTTTTTGAGTTCATATCCGGCTGGACAGCAAACACAGACATCTCATAAGAGTCAACCATATTTGAGACATCAGTGGCAGGTGCGACAAACCTGGAATGAAGCGAGCTTCGCCTAGGCGTGTTCATTTCAAGATGCGTGAATGCAGGCAAATACAGACAAAACGATCCTAATCGGTGTAGGGTAAAACGAAGTTCAGTAATTCATCAAGTCCTGAGTCCTTTCAGGAACCCAACGTAAGAAACCATATATCATGCAAATATGTGAAGTTATGTTCCACTATGAAGAAACAAGAGTACGTTTTGGACGTTCCTATCCAGTTTTCCACCTTATATGCATAGATCGCCATTTTGTACGTGATCGTGGCGAAACGCATCAGGTTGACTCGAATACACGCCCTTGAAGCTTGATTATTTTGGGAGGCCACCACATAGCGACATGTCATTGATCGCAAAAGAAAACACGAATTGCTTCCAAATATCAGTTCACAGACAGCATAGATATTACTTACCAACAGGTGCGTAGTTATCCAGTAACTGGTTCAGCAAGTCAACTAAATTGAGAAAAACGTTTTGTGATAAAAAGAAACTTTGAAAGTGAAGATTCTGTGGGACCACATAGAAGTTAACATGCCTCAGCTACTTTTACCATATTGGTATTACAAGGTATTACTCAGGTTTCTTTTCACCAACAATGCCTGGCACTAGACACAGCACCGTTATCAGTAAACCAGAGAGTGAAGGCATCCTTTAGGTTTCTTTCTACAGGGTTTTTTCTGTTTACTGGCATAGCCGGCAGTGTGTGCGCCATTTGCTGATTTGTTGTGTTCCGTCCAATAAAGTAAACCACAGACTGTTGATAAATGAGACTGTCGCATATTGACAAGCACTGTCCGACTGGCCAACTTGATATACTATCAGCTTTGCTATTTCTCTTATTGTCACGTAACAACCGATCAGAACCGACTCTACCGCTCACATCCGCCTTGGTAATAGCTGAGTTACCATTTATACCTTGGATTCGGTTGTATACTTCTTACCAAGGCGCACTGGTTTTTTTGCACTTATCGCTTGCGTTTTTTACTGTGCCTTAAATAGATACTCACTCTAATTCACTATAGTTCCCGATCATTCTAACTGTTCAATAGTCAGTGAATTCAAACCGATAGACATGCACATTCCACCCATAGTGATTTCTTTGTGGGAATTATTCCGGAGCACATTCGACCGAACAATGCGGCCGGCGATCGTCCGGTTTGGATTTGCCAGCTGAAGTTATTCAGTCAATTAAGCGTTTCACATACTTCCACTCCCTGGGGACAAAGTCAGTTGTGCAACTGGAATTTTCGAAATTCGGCTGAGACGTTGCATTCGAAATTTGATAAACTTACAGGCTTGGATGATTTCTGACCTTTAACGAGAAGTAATGGGCAGCTAAGCTTGGGGTGCCAATGTTTTTTGTCAAGCGATGGCTTCAGCCAATTGTCCAAAAAAGGTCAGTAACTGGTACCGAGGAGATCAAATCGATCAACCAAGCCAGCTAGTCGCTGAAGGTCTGCCCATCAAACTATCATTCTAGGCAGTAGCGCTAGTGTCGTCGCACAACTATGAAGCATTGTTACCTGTCTTGATAAATACTCTCAGATGCACACGACTTTGGCTTAGACAATGCACTCAACTGATTCCATCTGTCTCCCCAGTTTATGCTGGCCCTCTTCAGCTGAGTAGAAGAGCCGGTCGTTGGCTGTCGAAGTGTTCAGCAACTATAGCAGCAGCGTGTTACGTTAAGAGAATTTATTTAGTTAATTTCAAGGATTAAGCAAACAAAAAGTTGTATGGATAAGGTAGCGGATATGATTGAATTACTCATATGCTCACCTGTAACGATCGGTTCACTCAGTGTTACCGCGGGGTTTCCATGAGGGCCATCGCTACCGAAAATGCTAAATGCACTCTCGTGCAGTTTTTGGTAGTCCTTTTTGGTATCTCCGCTGTCATCACTAGTGTTCGCGGCCCTCAGTCCACACATGCTGTATTCCGAGGCCTATAGTGTATCTCTGAGACAATGCTGACGAAAAGACCACTTGCTAGCCTCTTCCTCAAATGGCTTTGTTTGAATGTTTCACCAAACACCAAACAAAGTCTTCCACTGAGGAAGCATCATCCTTGGGTGAATTGATCTGGGCGAGTTCCAGTAATCTTGCTTTGTGCTGCGGCCAGAGGAGGCGGAATCCGCTTTCCGCGGTGCAATTCACCAACATGAGGAAGCGCTCTTCGATACCCGTGGTGCCAATCATTGGCTCTATTTTCTATTCTTTGTCATGTGTAAGAGGATTACTTATTCTGTTGCCTTCAGTTCGCGCGTTTTTATGACGAGTGCAAACCACCCTTTTACAATGGCACCACACGCCGACTTTATCGGAACTTTTCGGGTCCACCTGTGGCCTTAGTATGAACTTTGGGTAGACACAGCTCACCTAATTTGTCGTGGGTGTAGAATCCTACTGACAATCAGCATTATTTTACCAGATGTACAGATACTAAAATGACCCCGTAATCTGAGGTTAATATGTCTCTATCGTGGTTGTTTTATTATATTCACAGCCTCCTGTCTCAGTCGGCTCGTAATTTCGTATAAAAGGCATGTAACACAAGCAGCTAAATGTGACCACGATGCCCAGTTGAAAGACCAACTGCGTGATAGACCCATTTCTGATATTCGATCGTCCGATCTACAACAGGAACTGCTGCTCTACCCAAATCAAAAATCTCAAACTATTCGGAAAATATGTGAGCAGTATGAAGATGTGAGGCATGTATCGAAGACTGATGAATCAGTGTTGTTGAGTTATTCTAAAAGAGGTAATTCAAGAATGCAGACGGACAATAAATTCAGACCTCGGACAAATTTTCGTGCCCCAAACCCATCAGTACGCCGTTTCACAGATCGTAACGCCAGTTCGGCGGTTCAAAACATTTGGGAATTGTGAATATTGTGGACGATGTGTTTTAGTTGCGGTGAAACGGGACACATTCAACTCGTCTGTAAGGGTGTGACATGAAACCCTCATCTGAACACATCTTTACACTTTATCTAATTTGCCCCAATATTCGTCACATGTTTTTGAAACTTTGATATCCGCTTCTGGTCAAAGACGTGATTCCATTGTTGACAAATGTAGAGCCGAGTCCATTATTCCACAACCAGATAAAACTGCATTTTACCGTAGTGTTGCGATAGTGCCTACAGATGTAAATATCCGCGGTATCACTGAAATTCTGTACCTCTAGTCGGTAGTTGCACGATTTCTGTGAGATCGTCCTTAGGTACTTCGGGACCATCGATTGTCGAACTCGAAGTCTGTGCTCGCTGCAAAGTAGTATCACCGTAGTTACGTCTGTGAAAGAGAATAAACTCAACCAATTGATTGTTCAATATTCTAAGGCTACAGGTGGCATGCAAATATCCAAGGTGAGCCTCGAAGTTACAGGAGATCCTATATCAAATAAGAGACTAATTATTCCATTCGGCTTAATGGATTCTGTTCGTCAAGCATTAAATTCAATGTGTGCGAACAAAATACTGACTCCTGTCGCGTCCTCCAACCATGCGAAGACTTTGAATGCATTGCACAATCACCTTTAAACTTAAACTCTTTTGAAACCATATTCCGCCAAATATCATTCGGCCATCATTACAGATGCTTCTTCCACCGGAATAGGAGCAATATTCGAACACTGTGGCAGACCGCTGATCTGCATTTCGTGTGGACTCTGAAAAGCCAACCGTCAGTATTCTCAGACTCAAGCGGCTCCATAATTTTATTTTTGGATCGAACTTTACCATTGCTACTGATCTTGAGCATTTAAATTTCTTGTATCATGCAACAAACTGTCTAGTGAAGTCACCTGTCGCTGTGGTGCAACGGTGGAGTTTTGCACTGAGTTCGTACACCTACACGCTTGTTCATCGTAGTGCGAAAATGATTCCCAAAGCCGATTTCTTGTCCAGAATTCCATCGTGCGCCTCCGATTCTAATTCAGATTGTTTATTGATTCGACCATAATAAGAGATATTTTGCTACCATTTTTTTGCATTGTGACGAAGCTGGACGCAGCAAGAGGGACGCGAATTCCTGCACTTTACTGTCGCCGCGAAAGTTTGCCCATTACTCCATTTGATATAAATTCGAATACATACGTGTTACCTGTAGCGCTGTCCTGAACTCTGGATTTTTAGTTAGTCTAATAGTACCGATATATGTGCTGAACCTAATGGCCACAATTTCACTCATCAAGTGTCCGCGTTGCAATCAAAATTTGCATCCGTTTTATTATGAAAGCTCTGTTGAGTTCTTCTGTCGGGTGACAGTGCACTGAATCGTTTGACCATGTCCAACGATTCGATCCACCCAGGTCGCGGTAAATGCATTATCCGCAGTAGATTGTGCCTTATTGATGGAGAGCTTCTTGGTCGTCTGCGTTGTCGTATGCGTCGTTGCCAGCCGTCAGCGTTCAATGTAAGAATTCCCAAATTCATATTCCACTTTTGTTTGCCACGGTAGATTCTAGCGTTGATGTCACCAATGGATAACATGCAAACGGCTAACTGAATACATCAAATCAGTTGACAACTGAGATCATGTGCGAAATATCACAGAATCCTAAACACGGTGGATAAGTTGTTCCCTGACAGTCAAGGAAGAATGGTTATCATTCTAATGTCGAGTCAGTTCGATTCATCCAAACTTCTTCCTTTTCTTTGATCGGTCAATGCAATTTCAATTTGCCGTCCTCATCGATATTTCTGTGGAGTTCCCTACCGGTAGACAATGGGTTCAAGATCCAGTACTGAACTTTGAAACAGCACATATGTTTCTTCAGAGGAGCTTAAGCTTCCTAGCTAAGTGAGATGTATGCCTTTTGTGTCGGTCGCTTCAACCCCTATCGACCCCTATAGACTTTCAACTTCATCAATTAGTCCCAGTGGACGCATCTTCATTTTTCTTTGTTGGTGATTGGCAATCAATCAGTCATTAGTTATTCTAAGTTGGTCTTTTATTTCACTCGTTGGAGTTGTATCCGAAAGCTGAGTCTCTTCAAGCTTTTTTCTAGCAGTCATTGTCCCTATATTCTATGCTGCTTCGAACTGCAAGGCTGGTCTAACCAGAAGATGCACATGGGAACTTTCTAACAGAAAGTTTGTCAAAAACCTTCAACGCCACAACAACAGCCACGTAGGTTTCAACCTACTCAAGCACCCTGCCGGTTTTCGTATTCGTTGTAATGTAGGCGCTTTTGACGGTCCGGGATCCACAACGGCGTTGGACATTCCCACTGTCTGGTATGGCAGATCCGGTAGTAAATCCGACAACTTATTTCGTGATTGACCGTTCTCCTCGAATTATTCTGCCGGCGTCAAGGCAGAATCGCAGTTGGTCAGAAGC